TGGAACCACCTCTTAATTGCTGATGTTCCCAGGTCCACCGAGACCGGGGGTTATAGCATCTGTCAAGGTACCAGGTATGAGCAAATAGTTAACCCCTCAAAAGGGGCTTACAGTAGTATGAAAGTATAAAAATAGGTTTTAATACGAGTAATAATTTTTTACCAGCAATACATTTTTGAAAAAAAAAAAAAATTAACAGCAATATATTTTTGAAGAAAAATATTACTGGCAATACATTTTTGAAAAAAAAAAATACCAGCAATAAAAATCTTGTCGGCATTAAATAACCCATTGAGGTTGATATGCTGTAAAACAAAACAGACCATTACCATTTAAACGGAAGGAGCGGGGCCTTACCTATAAGGTACTCTTCCGCCCAACTTCCAAATTTAATTTTTTCCTTGACAATAAGACGAAGTAAAAAAAAAAATACGAAAAAATAAAATACAGAAAATTACAAAAAAAAAAAAAAAAATTAAACAGAACAGTAAAACACATCAACACCAAATCAATAACACAACAGAACTCGTGAGTGGATTATTTTTAAATGAAGTACGGAATTGTGTTACTTCTCTTCATGAGCAGTTAGCCATTTGAACTCTTGCGTAAGCAGTGGTCAGGCTCAGAAATTACGTTTCAGTATTGCAATCCATTTTACAATTCTGTTGTTCAGTTGCCCGGCTATATTCGATTTAATCTGAAATAGCACATTCCAGGGATCAGGACATTTACATCAATGTTTGCATTGTCCGAACAACGGGAGTTTTTGGCGAAATGTTTTATCGTTAAGCCTAGTGAGTACCATGTGGGAGACCAATTGGGGATACCAGGGGTTATATGCTTGGATGGGCGGGTGGTGTAATGGATAATGGCTTGAAATTGCTAATTGGAAAGCTGATTTTCAATTCCCGTTAGGTTCGTTATATTCATTTAAGAGAAAATACCCTTGGGAAATGTATCAATCACCCTCTTCTCCCTTAGCTATGGGTTAATTAGTAAGACTTGTTTCACTAACCCATTATTATTTCCAATAAAGACACAAAGAAATAAATGTGCGTATAAAATATTTAGACTTCGGTAGTAAATAACCCATTGACGAGTTGATATGCCGCTAAACAAAAACAAAGAGAAAAAGACAAAAGAAAGGTTTTATTGTTTTAAAAGGCCCTCAACGAAGGATAAACGCTTGAAGGAAAGGCCAATGTTAGTCAATGAATATACTGGATGACTTACGAAAAATGATCTCATTTTTTTTTCTTTTTTGATCAGAGCTGGAAAAGATTGGAGCCTGGAAAAGGTCACAAAGATTTTTTGCGTGTGGGGAGGTATAGATCTGATCGCAGGGAGTGTGTGTGTGTGTGTGTGTGTGTGTGTGTGTGTGTGTGTGTGTGTGTGTGTGTGTGTGTGTGCAGTGTAACAGTCAGCGTTTCGGAAAAAGAAGGCGGAAAGTGAAGTAAACTCAATTTCATTCACTTTCACTCAATTTTCAAAAAAAAAAAAAAAATAAAATCATTTCACCCCAAGACGCAATTGATTACTGAACGTGGGGGAATATGAGAAAAGGCAAATATTATTAAAGATGGAGGGATAAAGGAAAATAAAAGAACTGAAATTAAGGAAACAGAAGATATCGATTGATATTTCATTTGAATTTTTGGAGATGAAAGTTAAAAAAGAAATATCCGGAAGATTTCCACAAGCGAGATGTGCTAGAGTAGGAAGTTCTAACATAGAAGCTACGGTTATATCTAGCCAGTTCAAGTGTAAGATGATGAGACCTAACTGCTAATCTAGTACTGCGCTTGACTTTGTAAAGTCTAGTTACTAAAGAGGAAAGCTCATCAAAACAATCACCATGAAAACATTAGTAGAAATAACACTGCGTTACAATGGCGCGAAAATGACCGAAGACGAGATGCCATTTCAGGACCAATAACATTGCAGTCTCTTTTGGGGGGGGGGATTTTATCCTGAATCTTTAAATACTTAGTAGAATCAACAGATCAGATGTGGCAGCAATATTCTTTGTAAAATGTCAGAACACATCTCCCCTCATCATCAACTATGGGTTAAATAGCAGGACTGAATGGGATTTGAGGAGACAACCAATCTTGAAGAAGGAAAACTCCGAATTCAAAAGCAGCATGAAAAATGGGTGGCTTCCGTTAGGTTACTGTACTGTACTGATGCGGCATTCACCCTGGGCGGATTGAGCCGGCTTCCTCCTGTTATGAGAAGAAGATTCTTGGGATAAATTACAGAAGTAGGGTACCCAGGCCTACTTGGATAACGTTCTTGCTTGCCGCGGGATTCCCACAGACGCAGAGACAGGAACGACCAGAAGCCGCCGGTTACCGATACAGACGCTCCTTGGATTTTCACCAGAGCCCTTGTTAGCTGGCGTGTGTGTCAGACCTGTCCGCCTTGGGTGGCCCTACCAGGAACGAAGTTCCGGGCGGCATAGCTCTGACACTACCGTTTACACCCCCCCACCGACTGTGAGGTAAGGGTTGGACTTTGGGGGCTTACAGTACCAGGTGTTCCCAAGCGGTCCCCCATCTAAGTACTGACCTGGCTCTACGATGCTTAACTTCGGTGATCGAACGAGAACCGGTGTTTTCAGCGTGATTTGACCGTAAGCTTTCCGTTAGGTTATGTTGTCCGGGTCGGCCATTATTACCCATTATGTATGACTGATAATAAATTTAGTACATAAGGTAAGGAAATTGAACAACTAATTATACAGAACTTGGTGTAATGTTGTTCAACACCGTAAGATGACGTGAAACCAATTCATTAATCTAAGAACAGGAACCATGTTCTTAAATAAACTCGTCGGATCTAGAGTATGTATGGCGTCCAACTCTATCAGAAATGCCTAAACGATAAGGTTTATCCAGCAGTTTGCTCTTCATTAATGACGCAAACGAATGAATACTATCCGTATAAGAGAAGACTGTCCCCGTGTCTTATAGTAGACAGCTGCCACAGAATTACATATCAAAACACGATCTATACCTAATAACAGAAACAACATGTTGTAGAGTAGCTAGCACTCCTTCAGTACTCTACCAGAGGTCTGAGCTCATAGCTGTAATTAGTCTACGATTAAGGACTTCAAGAGTAGATTAATAAGTTGATACTAACCTGATTAATATTCGGACTGATATTCTTTTGTTTGGCTATACAGCATTTGACTCTCATCTATTCCTTGTTAGTTGTCTTGTTAATTATTTTGTAACTTATTGTGTTTTTTGTATGAATCCTTTAGCACAGCATCCTGGTGCTGAATAAATATATTAAAAATTCATCTTTCTCTGTGTATCATTAACCTCGACGATACAAGACATCACTTGAAGACTTACAACAGCAGTAAAGTATAAAATGGATAGCAGTTATAACCTGAAGAGTAAACAATAGCATAATCGAAATGTTGCATTTCCACTCTACTTTGAACCAAAAGTTAGCTAGGAAATCCCAATCAAATCAAAAAAGTGCGATAACAGTGGATTTAAGAAACCTATTTTCCTGAAACGCTTTTTTAAGAGAAATATTTTTGTTGTAACTTAGGTTACTGAATAGAATAATCAAACGAATGTTGGTAATGAACGATAATACTTAGGACACGAACAACGCATATAAGATTCGCCAGCGGCGCGTAGAAGTAGTAGTCAACTGCTAGAAGTGAATCAAGCGAATTCTACAATGAATCTCCAACTGTAGGATATCTATCAACCGCTCAACGCAGTCATATGTGGCATAAGGCCGAATTTAATGTGGGGTATCCGAGCCCACAGGCTCAAGCAAAAATTCCCGTAGACCCCGGATAAAACGGGATCGGGTAGCTGTTTTCCGAGACGAGACTCTGCCCTTCGACATAGCTTCATCTGGGGATCCTCTCTGCCCGGAGGCAGAGAGTTTGAACAGCACAGCAGGAGACGAATCTCCGACTGTAGACCAACATACAGTATTTACTACTGTATTTCTGCGAATGGGTACATACCCATTATCGTCCGTAGGTGTGCTACAACAGTTTTATAATTTCTACGGACAGAATAGCTAACTGTTCGGTCAAAGAATGCCAGATGTTTCTTATATGGAAATGGTGGGAAAATGAGTGAAGCCGAGATGCCACGTCATCATCGCAACAGTTGCAGAATCTCTTTTAGATTTTTTTCAAGAATTTCTAGATATGCAGTAGAAGCAACCAGACCTGGCAGCAATATTTGATTCACAGACGAATGGTAGACTTATGATGATGTAAGAAATTTTAACTCTCTGGGTACTGTTCTAATATGACGATGAAAAGTCTCTACACAGGCACATAAGAATAAGGAATGCGGTTTTCTAGAAATTAAGTAAAGTATCAAGATTTAGGAAAATACCGTTAGGCGCAAAGAGTGATGAACGGCTATGTAAGTTCTAATCCCCGATATGGCAGTGAATGCTGGACCAGCTACTCAAAGACGAAGAATAGTTTTGAATCGCCATATACGTGGTTCACCAAACGAATGCAAAGAATAACATGGCCAGTGTATTTTAGCAATGTGGAAGTTCTGAGGAAGAGAGAAGCTGGAAGGAAATTTATATTTACTGCTGGAAAGAGACATCCGATAGTTTCTGTGACTGTTAACGCCGAAAGAAATCTTAGATTATCACTGGGCAAGAGGGAAAAACGACATTTTATGAAACAATTACACAATTGGAAGAAAAAGAGTTGTTTTTTTTTTGTTTGTTTTTTTTTTTTTTATTGGTTCGTTTTGTACGATTTATCGACACTTTGAAAGTTATTTAAAACCAGGAAATAAGAATTCTAAGTTGTTTGCTGATACACGTCTTACTACTTAACTCATATCTGGGAGGGTGGAGAAGGGGTGGATCCTATCTTTCCCAAGAGTAATTGCTCATAGTTGAATATAATGAACACAAGTGGAATTTGAACTCGGCTCTCTGATTAACAATTCAGAGCCCTTATCTATTACACCACCCGCACATCCAAGCTTACAACACCTGGAATTCCAAAGCGGTCACTCATTTAGGTACTTGCAAAGCTCGACGTTGCTTAACTTCGGTGTTCGTACAGAAATTAGGGTTTCAACGTGATGTCGACGTAAGCCAAAGAGGGATGGTTAAAGGTTAACGTTACTTAAATCACAAAAGAAGGACGTTGTGGAGAGTCGTGATCTGTTGCGTCCGGAAGCGACATGGCACATAAAGCTAAAAAAATTATCCATTATTGTGGTGGAGTATTTTCACAGTGGAGGCTTGTATTTTTATACATTATTATATTATTTTTTTTATTATTATTATAAGTCGTCCTAAATTAGGTCCGACGTGTAAAACGTTAGGAACTTGGAAAATAAGAGTCAATGGCGCAGCAATCTAGTTGTGATGGTTGGTGCTTCAAATGTCCGAATCTCGACTGACGTTCTCAACACCGTTCAGTATTTATCGTGCCACCCACGAGAACCGAATATGGCACAAGGCCGGTTTTAATGTGGGTATCCCCGAGCCCGTAGGCCCGGCCAAATATATAGCCTTTGAATCCGCCTAGACGGGTTCAGGCCCTGTCTACCTCCCCGGACGAAACCTTGCCCTTCGGCAAAGCATCGTCCGGGTTCCTCTCTGCTAACGCAGAAAGTTCGACAGAAGGCGTGCGCAGTCAGAGACTGCTCAACACCATTCAGTATTTATCGTTCCACCCACGAGGACCGAATATGGCACAAGGCCGGTTTTAATGTGGGTATCCCCGAGCCCGTAGGCTCGGCAAAAAAAATAGTCTTTTGAAGCCGATTAGACGGGTTCAGGCGCTGTCTACCTCCCCGGACGAAACCTTGCCCTTCGGCAAAGCCTCGTCCGGGTTCCTCTGCTAATGCAGAGAGTTCGACAGGGAGGCGTCCGCAGTCAGAGACCGCGAGGCACCGTTCGGTATTTATCTATTCACCCACGGAAAAGAATATGGCACAAGGCCGGTTTTATGTGGGTTTCCCGAGCCCGTAGGCTCGGCCAAAAAAATAGCCTTTTGAAGCCGATTAAACGGGTTCAGGCCCTGTTTACCTCCCCTGGACGAAACCTTGCCCTTCGGCAAAGCCTCGTCTGGGTTCCTCTCTGCTAATGCAGAGAGTTCGACAGGAGGCGTCCGCAGTCAGAGACCGCGAGGCACCGTTCGGTATTTATCTTTTCACCCACGGAAAAGAATATGGCACAAGGCCGGTTTTTATGGGTTTTCCCGAGCCCGTAGGCTCGGCCAAAAAATAGCCTTTGAAGCCGATTAAACGGGTTCAGGCCCCTGTTTACCTCCCCCCGGACGAAACCTTGCCCTTCGGCAAAGCCTCGTCTGGGTTCCTCTCTGCTAATGCAGAGAGTTCGACAGGAGGCGTCCGCAGTCAGAGACCGCGAGGCACCGTTCGGTATTTATCTTTTCACCCACGGAAAAGAATATGGCACAAGGCCGGTTTTTATGTGGGTTTCCCGAGCCCGTAGGCTCGGCCAAAAAATAGCCTTTTGAAGCCGATTAAACGGGTTCAGGCCCCGCCTACCTCCCCCGGACGAAACCTTGCCCTTCGGCAAAGCCTCGTCCGGGTTCCTCTCTGCTAATGCAGAGAGTTCGACAGGAGGCGTCCGCAGTCAGAGACCGCGAGGCACCGTTCGGTATTTATCTTTTCACCCACGGAAAAGAATATGGCACAAGGCCGGTTTTTATGTGGGTTTCCCCGAGCCCGTAGGCTCGGCCAAAAAAATAGCCTTTTGAAGCCGATTAAACGGGTTCAGGCGCTGTCTACCTCCCCGGACGAAACCTTGCCCTTCGGCAAAGCCTCGTCCGGGTTCCTCTCTGCTAATGCAGAGAGTTCGACAGGAGGCGTGCGCAGTCAGAGACCGCGAGACACCGTTCTGCCAGACTTGCTACTGCTACTCTTACTTATTATCTATGGGAGAGTCCATTACCAAAGAATAGGTAGTATAACAATTATTTTGAGAAGATTGATTGTTGCGTTTTCTACGGCTTATCAAAATTTTGAAGGGTAGAAAATATATTTTAAAGGCAGAAAATATATTTCTCGATTTTAAGAATTTTATTTTTAGGTAATAATTGTTTAGTGATACAAATCTGACTAATTAACCCATAGTAGGGAACAGAAGCAGTGAATTCATACCTCTCCCAATCGTATTCGCGCGTAAATGAATTTAACCGGCCCAACGTTAATTAGAACTCGGCTGTCCAGTCGATAATTTCAAACCATTATCTATTACACCAGCCGCACATCCCTGCTTACAGCACCTGGTCTCCCATCGAGGTAATGACCAGGCTCGACTATTTTTTATTCATTTTCTACGGCTTATCAACCCTGTGCAGGTTATTTAAAGCCAGAAAGTTTTTTTAGATAATAATGGTTTAGTGATACAAGCGTCACTAATTAACCCGTAGCTGGGGGAGGGCAGAAGAGGTGGATTCATAATTTTCCCAAATTTATTTAGGCATAAGTGTATATAACGAACCCGACAGGAATTAGAACTTAGCTCTCAGACTTTTAATTCCGAATCGATTTCCGTTACAAAATCTGTATATCCATGCTTACAGCATCTGGTATTCAGTAGCGGTCATCCATCTAGGTACTGACTCGGCTCGACGTTGCTTAACTTTGGTGATCGGAATAGACGCTGAGTTTCAACGTGTTATGGCCACAAGCACCTAAGTCTTTCGAATACGCAAGCCGGTAAACATTGTTTAAAATAAATAAATAAATTAATTAAAAAATAAACAGGGCGTCTACTCAAACACTTGTATACACAAAAATAACGTCACTCTCTATATTGCTTGTAGAGAATTATACAGAACTAGTGTTTAATATTTGTTTAATATCGTTATGTAAATATCTGAATTGACACTTTCGATTGCATGTATATTGGTCAAATATTAACTTTTAAAAAAATGATGAACGCAAAAGTCTTCATTAGTCAGCACTGTTATGAATGGACTTGCGCGAGATTTGAGCAGAGGCACCGGTTTACAAACGAAATAATTGAATGTGGAAAATATTTTCCCTGCTTCAGAACAGCGAAACAACAACGTTGGCTCGGCGGGGGAAGAAAAGAGATGAGTGATTTCTATTCTGCAGGAGCTGAAAGTTTAAATAATAAAGGTCACGGCAGTTTAGACCTTAAACTCTGGAATCGACCTCCAAGTCAAGTCGATATAAATTGTCTGTGTAATTAATCGAAGAAGGCAGAAGACAGAGGGACATGGCAGGTGAAGTAGTTCGAGTCGGATTTCCCGTCTCCGACAACTGAGCGAGGAAAGACCCCCCACCACCACCTCCTTCGCCGAAAAGCGATTTCGTCTGCTTGCCGGGCCCATAACTGAACGAGCAAAACCAACATCAGCGAATAGGACATTCGCTTAAACTGTTCGTTAATTAGAAGATCGTGTCTATTTTCATATCCGTGTCTTTTGACGAATCATCGTAGACTTCTGACCATTCTCTGTGGAATTGCAGTTTCAGACAAATTTTACGAAAAGGATTTAAAAAATAAAGAAAAACTTTTCCCCCCAAAATAGTTATAAAGTAAAGAACTAATGATTAATGATAGAATTGAAACTTCAATTTCGATTCCAAATATAGAATATCGTTATTAATTCCTCCGGACAACTAATATACGCAAAGAATATATATATATATATATATATATATATATATATATATATTGTCATCTACGGACAGACTGTTTCGCTGTAGAACTCACACACGATTCGATTTACCGAAGATTCTTGCATATTTAGCCGTAATAGTCACTGTTTACAAACCCACACTTCCTCCCCAGAGAGCTCAACTGAAATAAATCTTTCAGGAGCATATATATTGTCATCCACAGACAGATTGTTTTGCTGCATCACAGCTCATCAGTGTGGCTAGACGTCCTGTTGCTTCTGGCTAGGATCAAAACCGTACTGAATTGGCGTCTTCTACCACTAAGCCGTTGGCACACGACAGGGTTGAAGGTGAATTTAAGCATATTTATTTTTAGATGAACACAGTGACTGAGAGAAGTCGATTCGATTTACCGAAGAGTCTTGCATTATTAGCCGTAATAGTCACTGTTTACAAACCCACACTTCCTTCCCAGAGAGCTCAACCGAAATAAATCTTTCAGGAGAATACATATTGTTATCCACACACAGACAGACTATTTCGCTGAATCACAGCTCATCAGCGTGACTAGACGTCCTATTGCCTCTAGCTAGGATCGACACCTGACTGAATTGGCATCTGTCGGTGATTCTACCACTAAGCCGTTGGCACACGGCAGGGATGAAGGTGAATTTAGGTATATTTATATTTAGATAAACACAGTCACTGACTGAGAGAAGTCGATTCGATTTACCGAAGAGTCTTGCATTATTAGCCGTAATAGTCACTGTTTACAAACTCACACTTCCTCCTCAGAGAGCTCAACCGAAATATGTATATATAATTATATGAGTTATCGTGCTACATAGATGTACACACGGAACGTGTACTTTACTTACACAGTTTTACACTATCACACACTTTAACATCCTAAATGTCCCTCACACATATTTATATATTATGGATGACGTTTATACACGTGACTCGTGTCTGGCCAATGAGAATTGCCAAATATCGTACCTTTTTTCTGCTCTGTCTCTTTGCTTTTTCATTTTTATTCTCGATCTCTGATGAAACCTTAATGAAAGTGAAATATGTCAGACTCAGATTTGTTTCCTACTTCGTTTTCATTTTACCATTTCATTTTACCAATTCATTTTACCATTTCATTTTACCATTTCATTTTACCAATTCATTTTACCATTTCATTTTACCATGTTGTGGGATTCCTATTCATATCTGATCTACATTTGATCTCCAATATATATATATATATATATATATATATATATATATATATATATATATATATATTCATAAATATAATTCTTTTTATTTAGGGAACAATGTTTCTTTTTTATGCCAGTTTCATTAAGACGACTTTCCCTGTTGCCTACCGGCTCATGCAATTAAATAACTGGATATTTTATCTCTAAAAGGCAGGATGTGTGTGTGTGCGTGTGTGTGTGTGTGTGTGTGTGTGT